AACCCTTTCATACGGACGGATGGTGCTTCTTGTCCTCAAGGCTTCTTACGGTAGGGCGAATCGCTGCTTGTAGGGTTGTTGGTCCGAGCCCATGCGGTCTTTCACCGCGGCTGGTGTCAGAAGGCTTGGGAGTGGCTTGGCTTTCTTTTGAGGCCGACAGTTCAACAGGAGGTATATAAGGGGCACGCGTTCGAAAGGAGGGATTCAAGAGCAACCCAGGTGGGGACAGCTTTGACGTGCAAGAGGTGGGTGGCAAGGCCGCCCTCTTGCACACACTCTTTTACACCGCCCCCGTGCCTGAAGGGATCGTTCTGCCGGCGTGCATCTTTCGAGAGGCCCTGTCGTCATGTCACGTAGGGGCAGAGAAGGCCCTGGACAGTGCTGCACTTTCGCAAGTTCAAGAGTGGCTGCGAGCTGGCTTCAGACTTCCTGCCGTGGTCCAAGATGCAGTAGCCGAGCTTGAGAGGAACCATCCTAACACCAAGTTTTCCGTGAGATCTTCTGCTGTAGTTGAAGATTCATCGTCGACATCTTGTGCGGGGCTCTTTCACACCGAACTTGACGTGGGCTCCACCCAGCTCGAGTTGGAAGAAGCCATCCGTGCAGTTTTGGCTTCCGTGTACACCTGCTGCGGCCTGGTGTATAGATGTTCCGTGTGACTAGCTGTAGCCTAGCTGCTAGCCAGTTTATGGCAACGTCGTGGGGGATGTCGAAGGCTGTCTCGTGCACGGCAGATGCGATCTTATCATGCTGCCGTTCAAACGAGCCGGTGCCTGTAGGAAGCCTAACGGTATCGTGTAATTTGGGATTTACATCACTAGCATTAGTAACAGATAGTAGCATAGTGATTATGACTGTTGTTCTTGCTCTTCCTCTTGTTATCGCCGACTTTTGCACATCCATGTAAAGGATTCCCTTCAGAGCCCGCTTCTAGCTGCCTCTTCTTGCACCTGCTATGTCCCTCAGCCCGCCCCCGGGTTCAGGGTCTTGGGTCTGAGGGTCTTCGGGTTTATGGTTCCGAGTTTCAAAGCCCTAGAGCTACTAGTATGGTTCTCAAAGATGGCTGGTCGGGTATGCTTGATTTTGGGAAGCTAGGTACAGCAGCATCTGGAGCAACTCAGCACGGAGAATGGCCAGTTGTCCATGGCCGTGATCTTGCAGCTCATGGTGCCAGATGTGGTTGTCTCTGGTGTGGCATCCTCACAGTCAGCTGCCGTAGGCAACGGAAGTATCCTGGTATCTGCTTGCGCGGGTGTTGGCAAAGTCATGGATGGGAAAGAGGAGTCTTGTGAGCACTACAGCGTTCATCGCAAGACCTTGGATTCTGAGAGAGCCGCGTTCTCCGGAGCTTCCAAGCTTGGGACTCTGGGAGCTCGCGTGGCGGAGCTGCTGCGGGTGGAGGAACAACTAAGCATCGGCCCCCTGACCATGGAGTTTGCCATGGATGGTCACGGCAAGGTGTGGTTTGAGGAACTGCTTTTTTGGATTGAAAGGCTTAGGCAACGTATAAGTGGGATACCAAGATGCTTGTACAACGGTCTCCAGCCCGCCCACATTGACTCGTTTTCTCAAGCCTTTGAAACCTAAACCCCCAAGAAGCTGTGCTGCAGGTCCATTTACTACAAGCACGAGGTGATGTTCCTTTTCTTTGGATGGCGCCAGGCAGCGGACGATGGACCCTACAGCGCCCTTCTATCTACATGCCTCGAGGGCCCCTGGCCCCTGGCTCCATTATGCCAAGAACCACTTTTCCGGGGTTTGCGTCATGGCTACGACATGATGGGCGCCCCGGCTTGAATCTGGTACTATACGAATGAAAACCAGCTGGAGCAGAATCTAGAGAATGGAATGGAAGCCCGGAAGCAGCGTAGTTGTTGGATGTTGTCACCTTCTTTTTCCGGGGTGCTAAGCTCTGGTAGCTGGTATGTAGCTGACCTCGCTGCCAATCCTGTTTCTTACGAGCTTGGCACACTGTTGATGGCGTCAGTGTTCTTGATCTGAAGCACGTGGGAAGTAAGGCAGGAACTATTCCCATCAGCTCCACTTTTCGTACGCAAGCGTCCGCGGCTTCGTGTACAAGCAGCGCCCCTCTTTGCGAGATCCCCGGTGGCTACTCCAAGCGGCAGCCGGCTTGCATCGTGCTGTAAAGCTGGAAAGGTGGGCCGAAGATGTACGTACATGGCTGCAAAGCATCAAGCCTTCTTTACATGAGCAAGCCAACAACTTGCAGACCAAGTCGGAGAGACTTGAAGATCTGGGCGACAACGATCTGCTCTCGCACGTGGAAGTGTGCATGGATTTCATGGAGCTGGCGAGTGAGACGCACAGGCGTTTCACACCAGCTTCAGTGCTGCCCTTGCTGAACCTCATCGATTTCTGTCGAAAGCATGTCCAGCAGTGGGACATGGTGACAGTGGTTCAGCTGGTCCAAAGCGAGGCCTCAAAGACCTGGTGGCAAGACAATTTTGGGACATATGGGGCTGCGGTGCAAGGTCTCGTGACGCACCTGAATCATAACTTGGAGCTGCGCTGCATGTTTGAGCTTGACATTCAAAATCCAGAGGTTGCCCGGCATGTGTGGGAGAAGCTTGAGGAGAAACCATATGCCCAGCAGCTCCTCAGTTGTGCAGTTGTGCATCGTACTGTTCAGTGGGGCCGGACATTCTTGCGCCGACGCTTCGTGAGGAGAAGGTTCACATCCTAATGGCCATCAAGGCTGGTTTAGCCGGGCCACTCGCAAACCGCAAAGCATGCATCCCGGCACGGCGAGTTCTCCCGGAGATGTACGAGGAGGAGCTGCGAGTTCTGTTCGACCTGGCAGTCAAGGCCAACCCAATTCCAGAAGACCGTTACAGCTTTCACTATCGGTCAGTAGCACTCTTGAGGATCGCGGTGCTGGAGTGTGGTCGACGAAGTGTCCAGCGTGGTTATCTGGAGGAAGCCGAGCATGTGATTGCAGCTACTTCCATCCGAGACCTCCGCATGGCCTTGCAGCAGGGAATGCCAAGACTGGCACGTGAGTTCTGGCATTTCTCCAAGCTTAGGGACGCGGCCTGCGCGACTTCTGACTCTTCCCTGGCACCGCAATCTCTTCCGCCAAGCAGGGACAGCTCCAGGAAGCTCTGGTTACCGAGCTGCTGGCAGCCTCTGTTCCGGTTGACTTCATCATTTCCGGATGTGCCTCTCTTCAAGGTCATCAACATGTTCAGAGATTGGCAAATATTGGACGGCCCCGAGCCACTTGCTTGGCAGCCCGAGGCATTGCCACAGAGCAACAGGGGTGCCTTTGATGATGTAGCATCCGAGCTCCCTGGCATCGCGGTGTGCTTGGATGCCCCGTCTGTGAAAGGCCGGCTTAGGGAGTCAAGACTTGGATGGGCATGTAAGCCCGAAGCTCTAGACCCCAAAACCCTCAACCCGACAACCCAAACGAAACCGTGAACCCCGAACCCTCGACGCGGTCTCCCACCCCTGCGCAGGTGTTGCCAGAGTCGGTGTAGAGGGCCTTATCCCCGGAGAGATTCTGGTTGTGGGGTACGCCTCTTCCAGCCATGCAGTGTACTTTCCGATGCTGAAGGCGCTTGCCGGCGACTCAGTGACACCGACAGTTTTTGGTGGAAACAGGACACCTAGATACCCTTCAGGATACTGCACAGCTTCGAGAAGGATAGTCGGTTGCAGTGAGACGGACAGCAGAAGTCCAGAATAGGGATGTGTACATTACATACACACCTGACGCCATGTCAATCAACACACTACAGCACACACGTGCATACCGGCATCATGTTTGTGAAAAGATCAAACTCAACACCACTAGCTCTGCAATCGACATAGCACAAAACATAGCAGACGGAGCGATGAAGATGAGCATGTCTCGAGTTTACGCTGATGTTGAGTGTAGTGAGATAGCGAGGGGCATGAGAACACAGAGGACAATGATTATGAAGGGGATGATGACCATGATGACGGTGATTGTAGCGATGATGATGGTGATGATGACCGCGATCTTGACGGTGACGATGATGGCGAAAGGGGTTGATGCGGTCTTTCATCCTGCTGTTGATGCTGGTGTTGGTGACGAGCATGAGGATGAGGATGATGTTGCCTTCCGTGCAGATTGTGGCTGACTGGTATGGACTCATCGATGTAAGATCGGAGACACTTTGAGCGATCAGAATTGTCATGCCGGTAGGACTGGTTTTGGTGTCGGTTTCACGAGTATTGGTCCTGGCATCGGCATTTGCGAGAGCAGCAACCCTTGATATGGTGACAGACACAGCCAAGGCTACGAAGGCAAAAAATAGCATCAGAGGAAGAGCAGTCGCAAACGATCGTCATAGCAAAACTCTAAACCGTAAACCCTAACCCCTAGCCCCTAAACCCTAAGCCTCTGAACCC